CAAAATAAATTTGAATATACCTATGTTTTTATTCATATTTACTATTTGTGAATTCCTTGTTATAATATTTTAAAGTTAGAGTGATTATACTAGTAGTATACTTACCATAGGCGTAACTAGACCTTAAAGTTAGGGGGGGGCTTCAGCCCTAACATATTTAATATGAATAACAAATGTGGGGGGCTCCATCATAACTTTGAGCAATAATTGGTATTTTGTCCAAGTTAATTTTTTTTAAAAATAAAATAATAGTTGATGAAAGAGAATCAGCATTTTGGTTAGTAGAAACATCCACAAAACCCAAAAAATGCTCAAAAGTGATGAAGTCTTTAGCATATCTTATACAAATTGACATATATTCTTGTTTATGACACCTAAGCAGCCATTAAATAGGTATTAATGAAAATAAGATTTTAATAGTTTTAACTTTAGTCTTTAAGAACCAATTACCTGGCTTCATCGCACATAATTGAAATAAAAGATACTTCATTAACTTTATCAACTATAATATTCAATAAATTGTCTGCACAGATCTCAATTAGCTCATTTTGTATCTTAGGACTAGTATAATTGATTATTTCATTACTAAACGTATCATTGCAAAAGTTACAAATTAACTAGAAAATCAAAGTAACTAAGCCTAATTCAAAATCAGTGACTATTTTAGTTTTCATATAAAATTAAAAGTTAGGTATAGCTTTTTTAAAAGCTAACAAATAATATAGTAATTTAATATAGTCTGATAGTTTTAAATCAATGTAAGTACATAATACTTTAATCAATGATGAAATCCAACAAAATAATTATTTTTATGTATTTGAATACCGAAAAAAATAAACCTATACTAAATTATAATTACTAAATTAATTAGTAGAATATAATTGATTATAATTAATTAATGTAATATCAAACATTATTCAATTCAGTGGTAATTCTATGATTTAATAAAAATATAATAATAAGTAATATATTAATTATATATTTATATGGAAGGGTTAATGAGTTTACAAATGTGTATGTTTGATATAGAGTAAAATATGGTTATATTTATTTTCTCAATGATGTGGTTACCTCCCTTTTCTGTTTATAATATATTATTTAATACATTCTGTGAAAATGCAATATTATAGCCATAATTATAAATGAATTTATTTATGAATAATATTTTATACTTCCAATTATTATTATTTTTATTTTTATATAATTCATTTTTACAAAATGGAATATATTTAAATATTTAAAAAAAAAAAAAAACTTAATGTGCCAATATAATGAATGAACTTATAAATTATGTACTTCATAACATGGAAAAAAGCTTACCTTGTTAAGTTAGAAGTTAATTCTAAAAAAAGTAACTCGTTATGTGACTTAGATAAAAGCATTGATGATAGGTATATCGTATATATTAAGAATATTTAATCAATGGTAAAAGTAAGTTAACTTCAACTTTTTAACTCGTTAATGTCCAGCCTATGTACTAATTATCAGTTACCTATTGAAGTTTGTTCGAATTTAATTAATGATACTTATTACTTTGTATTTAACAATATGATTATTAGTACACGGTTTAAGAATAGTTATGTAAGTGTAACTATAATAATTAACTGTTTTTGAAATAAGGGGACACTAAGTCGTCAAATTTGTTATAATCTACCTATTGCTAAGATAAAAAAAAAATGTTTTGGTAAATAATACTTACAATACAATATAAGTAAGCCAATAATATTAAACAGCTTAAAGAAAAAATTCAAATAGTACCTACCTATTTGAAATTTTAATTTGAATACCAATATTACTAAGTACTTACGTTTGTCGTACTAAATTATATCTAGAATTTTCCACACATATATTATAAGTTAGAACCAAAATACTTAGTATAGTTACCTACTGTATATTATGAATTATGATCTAAGTATAGATATATAATATATTATTATATCTGTGAGATTTTTATAATCGTTTGTTAATATTATTATCACGTATTCCTTATCACTTATCAGTTATCAGTTTTCATTGTTTTCATCACGAAATAGAATTAGAATACCTAAATGAAGTACCTATCTAAACTAATATTATAGTATATTATAATAGGAATTTTATTGTTTTATTCATATTATTTACGTTTTTTTAGAAAATGTATGCAACATTTAAAACCATGAACCATATTATATTACACATAATATTAAAGCTTGTAAAGTAGGTATTCAAATTACGCATTCACATTTTACATACCTATATGAGTATACATATTATATTTATATAGGTACTTGTAGAATGTAGATATAGGTACATGTAACCTATTTCATGAAGACATAAACATTATGATATTATTGAGTTATAATTAGTAATTACCTATATCCCATTTTATGGTTCCTTTGTAGATATAACTAACTAACTATAACTATCTATCTGGTTTATATCGAAAGTAATTATTATTTTCTTTATAATATGCTTATACGGAATGTCAATTTAATATTACGCTGTGGTGGGTTAAATCTGACAACCGCGCATGGATCTAACAAGATAAGTAGTTTAAAAATGTTAAACACACCCGGATGCGTATTAGGAAACCCAGGACGCCACAGAGCGCCTTATGTATACCACGTTCTCATTGGCCCATTTCAAATTTCCCGCTTTTTTTTTTATCATTTATCAAATAATTTAATTTACAGTTATTTTTATTTTTTACTTTAGTAGGTACCTATACCTACCTCAGAGTGAACATTTCTTACTGGACTAAGTGTATTGTACTTGTACACACCTTTTGTGTTAGCTAAAAAGATTGTCTAGGTTCTTCCTAACATAGAAACAAAATAGGTACCAATCTTACTTAAATGTTTTATTTTTACTAAAACATAAGATTCTTAATTAAAATAGGTAGGTACCTTACTAAAAGTTCATGCTCTAACATTAATATATGTATTGTATTTTTAATAAAGACATAACTATTTTTAGAGGAACGAATTGAACCATGAATGGGGCAAAAACAATTTTGGACGTCAAGTAGTTTGGTAGTCTAGTTCATCGATGATTGAAAAGCCCTGTTATTATTTTCAATTTTATACTTGTAGGTACACTACATTACTACTTACATCAGCAGTGGTTATAAATAATATTTTTTTACACATTTATAATTAAACTAATTCAACCTTTTTAAAATGTTATGCAAGTATTAAGTAAACAAATATTAAGGTAGGTAAAAAATAATACATACATGTCTACCTACATAGTCAGAGGTAGGTAGGGGTTACACGATCATTGAAAATATATAAATATTAGACAAAAAAAATAAATAATTTACAAACATTTAAAACTGTGAACATATTTTAAAGTATTTTTTTTTACTATGATGACCACCTCGCATGTTAAATTTCTGTCAGTTGGGCTCTGAATGTGATTTAATTGTCCTGAATGTACAACATGACTCCCTAAATAACAAAAATTTACTAACAAAATTCAAAAATTTGACCTACCCGATAATACTTTATAGGTGTTACAAGTTCCTATATAGATTATAATGACAATTATTATAAAATATACCATTCAATTTTATTATAATTTGATAAGGTAACAATTTTGAACTCAGATTTACCAATTTTTTTAGCAAACAATTAAACAATTTGTTATTATATTACATTAAATTTTGTTTATTTTATGATGTAGGGAAGTTTAAGACAAAAAAAATAATTATGATGTAAATATGATGTAGGGAAGTTTATCTTCTACATCTACTAAGTTTATTATAAATTATAATCTAAATATATCAAACTGAAAACAGTGTACCTAGTCACAAATAATAATATGATTTAATGTAATTCCAGTATAAACTTCATAATGAAGTCATAAAATATTAATTTGAATGAAAAAAACTATGTAAAACAATGAAAAATACATGTTATATGTTCAGTGACCTCTAACATGGGATTTTGCATTTGATTGTCCTAAATTAATGTTTTTTCATATTTAACATATTTTAAAGTATTTTTTTTTTACTATGATTACCATGCGAGGCGCATGTTAAATTTCTGTCTATGCACAGTATTTAGAGGTGAAAAAGCTGGAAAACAATTGCTGCAGGTACCACATGGCACATCAGTTGAGCTCTGAATATACAACATGACTTCTTAAATATCAAAAATTTAAACATAAGTTTATCTTATTTACATCTTGGTACCTACTTCGTTTATTATTTATTAATTAATTGATGTAGCCACTAAAATATATGTAGATATAGCTCCTAAATTATAATCTAAATATACCAAACTGATAACAGTATAGTCACATTGTTTATTTATTGACTACCAGACTACCTACCAGCTATTATTAATTTGTCAACAGAAATATTAAATTGATTTTTGACTTGCTGTCATGTTTAAACTTTAATTGTACATCTCTGTTATAGTTGTACTTTTAATTTTAAGTTGTTAGTGTTTAAAGCATCTTAGCATTTTCATTAGTTAGGTATTTTTAAGCTCTGGTTGTTTGGGTATTTAACTTGTTGGTAGTAGTTCTCTGTTTCTGCATTTCTGAATAATCAATTATATTGTATTCATAATGGAAGAATTCATTGAGTTCTTAAAAAATAATAATATCATTGCGGTTCTATCAAATGAAGTTTCTAATATAAATGAAAAGGCCTCGATTCTTAGAGCCAACATTAATAATGTTAATGAAGTTGAGAATTTCGTAATGCTTTACCAAGAATTTACTAAAACTAATTGGATTCGTGTTGGTCAGCTTAACAATCCATCAAGGTAAGTAAAAATAGTTCTCATTATTTGATTAATATTAATGTATAAGACATTTTTTTTTTCAGAGTAATGTTTCATAAATATTGGGTATGCCAGCACAGTAAGTTGAACAAAGTAAAATGTAATGAAACAATTAGAAACACATTCTGTGATGCAAAATTTGACATACTAATGAAAAAAAACAACCGTAACACCAGAAAAAATGATACATTTTTGTTAAGAGACCCCCCTCTTTGTGCTAAAATATCCATGAATGAAAGTCATAATCATTCAGTCAATACAAGTGGTTCAATGAAATTTTTACGGATAACACCTGAGGTAATAGTTTATTTTATTAAATTAGTAGGTATGTTTAATACCTATGTGTTTGTCAATCATGAATCAATACATGTAGTTAGTAGATATAGTAAAGCTGTCAAGGTGTACATTAGGTGGTTATACTAATATACTATATATCAATGCATAGAATTATAGCAGTATTGCAGTAACCTATTAACTATTGTTTTAGAATTTTAAATTGAGAAATTGTTTTATTTTAAGTACACAAATACATAGGCACATATTGAAAAGATTAAATCATTATATTTTTTTTAAATATTATTTTTAATAACACATTTTCATCATAATATACATATTAGGTATATTAATAATTCAAAATATATGTTTAATTAAATAATTATGATTATTATTTAAAGGTGGAGCAAGTGTTTAATATGTATTTTGAGGATGGAATGGGTGCTGCTGAAGCGATACGCTTACATGAAAGCAAAATATTATTGAATGAAAATTGTTGGGAGACTTTAGCAAATGGTTCAAAAAACCCAAATAAAGAAACTGTGGCATATTTACACAAAAAATGGCGAAAAAATAATTTTGGTTGTGTAAATAACCCATTAGAAAAATTAAAAGAAAAGACTCAATCATATGCTGAAAGAGGTAAAATATTTGTTGATGCTATAGGTAAATTGAATTATTTAAAAATATCAGTATTAACTTCAAGTATTAACTAATACTCTGGTGAGATTTGACTATACCATTTAAATTTGATTTTTTTTATAGGTAGGTAGGTACTAAATTAGAATGTTTTTTTATTTTTAGGTATTTCAATAATAATACATGAAGAAAAACCATGGGCAGTCTTGGTAGTTACTCCTCTCATGAAAAGAGTCCAGCATTTGTCATCCTCCAAAGAATTAATTTTTTGTGATAGCACAAGTAGCTGTGATACCATGGAGACTACTCTTACAACTGTACTTGCAGTGTCAAATGCTGGAGCAGTTCCCATAGCAATGATTATGCATGAGGGCCAATCAAGTGATAGCTATAAAAATGCTTTTGGGCTTCTGAAAAAGCATTACCCATTATGCTTTGGTGGTAATGAGGTACTGTATATAAACAAATATTTATTTTTATTACATTTTTTATTGAAATATTATATTCATTTAAAAATCAATCTTTTAAATGTGTCTAAAAATATTGTTAAAGTTTTTAGTTATTCATATTATAGGTACCTATTGGCTTTATGACCGATGACTCTGCTGCAGAACGATCAGCATTAAAGACACTTTGGCCATCATCTAGATTACTCCTGTGTTCATTTCATGTACTACAAAAAGAATGGGGTTGGCTACATGAAACTAAAAATATGGTGTTGAAGGAGAAACGTTTGCCTTTAATGCGGATGTTCCAAACAGTAAGTAATTACTAATTAATTGGCATATCGTATATATTTTAACTATAATTGATTTATTTATTTATTGCCATTTAAAAAATTGACACAAAAATAGTAAAAACATTTGAATTAATAATTTAAATTGTAAATAGTATACAACCCATTCAAATTCCCATGCATACAATTTTAAATTTTCTAATAAATAGTTGATAAATACATTCATAAATATATATTCTTCGGGAAGTATGGACTTATAAGTTATAACTTAAATTATTTATTTTAGGTATTGTATGCTGCAGATGAAGTCAATTTGAATGAAGCTACTTCCAATATTTTGAACTTAAAGGATGAATTTCCTAATTTTGTTAAACGCTTTGAAAGTTATTTCAAGAGAAAAAATGAGTGGGTTTTAATGTTTAGACGTGATATTATAACCAGAGGAAACAATACTAACAACTATGCTGAAGCATGCATACGAATATTGAAAGAAATTATATTAAACAGAACTAAGGCATATAATGTAGTGGCTCTAGTTGAATTCATTTGTTATGTGTGGGAAGACTATTTAATTCTTAGAATACTAGATCATGCACATAATCGCCGGGATAATATTCAACGAAATTATACTAAACTTTGTTCTCGAACATCAAATTTTAATATTGATCAAGTAACTAAAATAAGTGAAACATGTTATTCTGTGCCAAGTTCTGATACTGAGAATTCTGCAGTTTATACTATAGATATTCAAATTGGTGTTTGCGATTGTTATGTCGGATTTACTGGTGCATTTTGCAAACACCAAGCCTTTTTACACAAACATTTCAATTTATCTCTACCTAATGCACCACCTATAACTGTCACTGAAAGATATGCACTTGGGCAACTTGCTCTTGGTGACAAGTGCCCTTCTCAGTCATGGTTCCTGGGTTTAAAAGAAAATGAAAGTGGTATTCAATTTCAAGAAGAATTTGAACATAGTAACATTGATTATGTGGCCCATGCTAGTAATCAAATTGAGTCCTTTCCTAGATCTGAAGACATCTCAAATAAAAATGACACCAATATCCTTCAATCATTTATAGCTGATGATAAAGTTGCAAATAACAAGGTAAATGATGAACTTGAAAAAGGGTTTTTAAGATTCAAAGAGTTTTTAAATGATGTGCCATTAGATATTCGTCAAAAATTAACAAAAAACCTAAATGTGATAAAAAATGCACAACAATTGACAAAATTAATGGTGACATGTAGCCGAGGACTAAGTGTGGCAACTAAAAGAAAGGGACAAATAAAGGTTCAATCAACTTCAATTTCTCGTCGAAGACAAGGTGTAACCCGTGGCTCTCGAAGAATTCCAGCTCCAAGAATTTCCACCATAAACTTCTTCCAATTGACGATGAATTTCTATAGGTGGAATTTTTTTTGCGTGTAAAAACTTAATGACTGCACGTAACTCGCACCTAGCGGGAGCGACAACCGGTAACTCCATCGCAAACGGCTGCTACGTCGAGAATGAGCGTCCTAATGGTTAGGACACCCAGATGTTGATTTGTGGAGGGGGCCACACGTATACAACAGTGTAGCCGGATTTCACCTAGCGCTACTTGCGGCGATACGGTGGCCTTGGAGACCTTACTTTAAATACACCCCTCGTATATATATATATATATGTACACACACGCAAACACAATCAAATGGGAATACTTACATCTTCGTTTGACGAGCTGTCTCCAGTAACATTGGTATATGAAGACATTGTATTTTACCTTAAATAAAAATTTGTAAGTTAAAATTTTTAATATACTAGTTTTAAAACTAATACCAGATCAAAGTATATTACTTGTTATGTAGTCTTGTAACAGTGTGAAGCAACGATTTATCAAGTCCAATAGTTAATTTCAAGATTTAACACTGTCTATAATCAATGTATGCTGACTGTTTATATACAATCTAATAAGGCTGTGTGAGTGTGTAAGGTAATTATCGGTTTATGTATGATTGTCGGATAATTAGGTATAAATAAAATAAATGCAGTGTACTCATTTTTTTAGGCTTTCCACATTAAATTGAACATAGAGGTTGTTTGGCAGATCACCTATGTTAACTTTAAATAACTTTTGATTAAAAAAAAATGCTCGTTTGCAGTTTATAATCAGTCTAATATTATAATGTGATGTAATATCGAATGATTATTTTATTTTCAGGTAAACTGCTAATTAGATATAAATAAAATAAATGCAATGCAGCAATTTTTGTTTTTAGGCTTACTACAATAATTGTTTACACTTTTGACATCATTTTATCAGATTACCTACTTTATTCAATAATTAGTAAAGATTTATTTATAATTGTAAACTTTTTATCCACATAATATTAATTCCTATTCTATACAAAAAAACATCAATACTAAGTATAATAACTGCATCATCAGACTATCTAATATTAGTAATTTATTAACTAGTGCCAGGGGCGTATTCTAGGGGGGAGGGGGTCGTGGGGTTTGAACCCCTCCCATGACCTTACTAACCGATGCACTTTTGTGCGTTCTTGTTTATACATAATATAATTCACAGGGGCAATTTTCTAAAAAAAAATTTTTAAGAAGGGAAAAAATAAACAAATATATTTATTTTCAATTTTATATCAACATGCATTATACAACGATTACAAGCATTATCTGTTAAGAACTGTATTATGATAACCAGATAAAATTTAAATCAAACATACAAGGTGTATTGATAAGTTGTCGTCACTCTGGACCCCTATACGTATACACTCTTGATTGAAAATATTACCACAGTTCTATAGTCACCAGAGCGCGCTTCTTGTCCTGCGAAGGCCTGCATATTCATTCTGTTAAATGCAAAATGTCTTAAAACTTCAGAATTAAAATGCTAATATTTTTTAAAATTTAAGTCAGTATTTACAAAAACATTGAATCATAAAAAGTTTTTTTTTTTAATTGAGTTGGTATAATAAATTTGGAGCCTGTAATTATACATTACATTTGCATTTTATTCATTGGCAATATTTTTATCGAGTAGACATCAATTAGAAAGAAATATGTATAATTTAGTCACTTCTTTGGATATTTGCATCCTTCTTAAAATCTTTAAATTAAATTAAAACTATTATGATTCTACTCCTAATTCTAATAGTAGTCTGGTAGAGTGGAGTATTATATTCTAGTGCTCATAAAAAACTAAAAACATGTTTAAAATATTTTGCATATTTTATTTATGATTAGGTATATTATTTATATTATAATATTATTCAATAATAGTTATCTTATAAACTTCAAACTAATTTTGAAAAATTGTTTAGTTTTTTTGGTGTTTTCTTGTTTTTAGCACCTTGCTCATTTTGTTCTTTTGTAAGTTTTGACATAATGCGTTATGATATATTTGGTTAATATTTGACTGTGTATTGAGCAACCAACCTTTGTCAAAGAATTTTTTTATATATTTCTTCAATAAATATAAATTATGTTAGAAAAATAAACAGTGAAAAATGTATATGTAGTTTTCAAATTGAAATACAACATTAAAAACTAGTCTAGTGCTGATGTGGTTCAATGATGTTCTGTATAATTTCAATAAATATGATAGTATATATAAATACAGATTCATTTTTCATTGGACTCTAGAGTTTGTTAGGTCTATGAATACAGTTATTTAACAAATTTTAAACAATTTGTGTATGTACCAATTCATCTTCAACACTATCTATTCAACGTGAACGTGCAATTCAAGATTTGTTCAACAAACAAGTAGATTAATACCTGTTATTATATGTAAGTTATTAATCAAATAAAAATAAATATGTCTAACACATAATTTTAAAATTTCAGTGAAATGAAAATAAAATTAATAATGAAATATTAAATATTAAATTAAATTGTATTGTGTAAAATTTATAAAGTATAACCAATAATCTGAAATTTAAATAAAGTTTAAAAAATAATAATTCAGAACTTTATGTTGTGCTTATAATATATTTGTAATGCTATGATTGTTAATATATGTTATTTATTTACAGGTAAATATCATTAGTAAACTATTAAGTTATATAACTAATTCTCAAATAATTTGTGTATGTGACAATTCATTTTTTTACTACCGCCTAATCGACGTCAACAAACTGAAAACATTGAAAATTGAAGATTTGTAGAATAATCTGATGGATAATATGAACGATAACATGTAAGTTAAATGTTTATGATTAATGAAATATGGAATAACATAATATTTAATATCAAATTAATTCATATTATATGAAATAAAATTGAATATTAAATATTTTCAAATAAAATAAAATTTTAATAATTTAGTTTCATTTCAAATATAATTAGTATTACAGAAATAATTAAAAAATAAACTTGAAAAATGTAAAAATTATTGTAAAAAATATTATTTTATTTTTAATAATATATTATAGGTTAACTACTGTAACTGGTATGATACCATTCATAAAAATCAAGTATAAATTGAACTAAACTAAATTATTATAATGTATTTTAATAAATACAAATAAAAAATAAATACTATGTTTGTGTTATTTACATTTTTTTAAATATATACTATATTAAATAGATGAAAATAATACTAATGTTGTAAATAAATGTTTTATATTTACAGACAAAAACCGAAAAATAAAATAATAATTATTGATTTTGAATTCACAAACATATGCAATCAAAAATTGAACGTATGCGAGGTCGACCTTTAATAATATCACCTGATGGAAGAATAACATTAATGAATTATACCTATTTGAAAACCAGAGATTTGTTGCTAAAAATTTTTGAAAAGAAACCAGACCAGCTTCAAGTTATACTAAATGAATTAAATTTAGCTATGGAAACAAAAACTTCGAATTTAACCAAAAACTATTTAAAAAACTATCTTAATTTTAATAATCAAAATTCAATTATTTTACTGAGATTAGGTTTTAATACCCATATAATGTTAAATATGACTGCATATGATACTGATAATAATAAAATATTTTATTGAAAATTAATTAATTTTAAAAGTAATGAAATTATATTAAACCATAAATTAGGTTATATAACTAAAAATGGTAGATTATGGAAAGAAACTCACGACATAATTTGTAAACAAAACCATAATATAACTTGTATACATGATGCAGTTAATGATGTAAAATTAACAAAATGTATTTTCAATTATTTATGTTTAAAAAACAATTATCATCATATATTAAGTAAAATAATTAGTAATCATTAAAAATATATAATAACTTAGTATAACTTAGTTTTTTATCAGATTATTTTAATCATACGCTGTGGATACTGCGTTAATTATATTACAAAAAGTCAATTTTTACTTTTGTTTTTCGATTTTACGAATTAAACCACACTACTACAGTGCAACAGTGGGTTTTTTCTGTTAATTTAAATATGGATCTTATGGATTTATTTGAAGACGACGATGACTACGAATTAATTCAATTTTTAAACTATCATTGTCGTGTGTATACAGTACACCCAAGAGTCGACCATTTGTTAAAATGGGATGACTATGATTTCAGGGTGAGATTTAGACTTGGAAAGGATGTTGTTCCTCAAGTATTAGAATACATTGAAGATGAGATGTCATCACCAACTGATAGGTGAGTTTAAATACACATGACAGATGAATTAATAATATTCTTATGTAACAAATTACATAATTTTATAAATAATGCCGTAACAACGATCAACAAACTATTGCTGACCCTACGATTCTATGCTACTGGCAATTTTTTGATAACGGCTGGTGATTTTATGGATGTGAGTAAACCCACAGCTTGTTTAATTGTACGTAATGTCAGTGTAGCGATAGCAAAACTTCGACCAAGATTCATCCGTATGCCAGAGACTGAAAGCGAAATAAAAAATTTACAACGCCGTTTTTATCAAATAGCACGGTTTCCAAGAACAATAGGTGCAATTGATTGCACTCACATAAAAATTCAAAACCCTGGTAAGAGTTAATGTAACACTTGGTAGTAATGATGTATGATTTTAATTAAAACAATTTCAATAGGTGGTCCAAATGGTGAATACTTTAGACATCGTAAAGGGTATTTTTCTTTAAACGTTCAAACAATTTCATGTCCAGATTTAAAAATAATGGATGTTGTTGCACGTTGGCCAGGGTCATGTCACGATCAAACAATTTTTAAGAAGTATCTTGCTTACAATAAATTGGTCAGTGGTTATTGGAAAAATAGTCTAATTGTAGCTGACAGTGGCTACGCTAATTCACAATATGTTGTCACTTCACACTTAAATCCTCAAAATGCCCCTGAAGGGTTATACAATGAATCTTTAATTAGAACTAGGAATCCAGCTGAGAGATCATACGGAGTTCTAAAACGAAGATTTCCCGTCCTTTCTTTTGGATCACGTTTAAAAATGGAAACCACCCAAGCTATGATTGTTGCTTGTTGTATTTTACATAACTTAGCATGTGATCATAATGATTTAGAACCACCCGAACTATTAGGTATGTGTATGCCAGTTATAGATGACTTCAATTTAAGAGAGGAACATGAACCAGAAGTTGGAAATGCGAGACAGCAGTTAACTGAAGAATATTTTTCAGTTTTGATTTAACCACATTGTTTCAGCTAAGAATGAAGATTATGACCAATACTCATAGGCACAAATAGAATGCCAATACTGATATGATTAAGATTATGTAAATATTGATGTATATTTCTAGATGTTTATTTAACAATAAATATATTTTGTAACTTATTTTAATTTGTTGTAAGTACATATTTGATCATTTATTAATCATTTGTTAATCATTTAACACATTTAAACATTTGTAAAATAAAAATTAATAACTTTTAACAGTATTATTAAAACAAAAAACAATACAAACAAAATAAATATTTTTAACAAAGAATAAAGTTTGTTGTACATAAAACAATATAAAGTAACATACATTTCTAAAATAAAAAATAATAATAAACAAGCTGAGTGTAAAACATTTAACACAAGAACCTAGAAGTCATTTCCATTTAATTTCTGTTTTTTTATATAAATATCAAGTTCTAATGACTGAAGCTCAAGTGCATGTTTTGTCTTTAGGAATGTCATATTTTCTACATTTTCTTCCTTTAACAAGGATATCTGAAGTTCAACCAATTCTTGTTTTTTTTCAGCTAGTATAGTGAATTTTTCACTGGTTGATGTCTGACTATGATTTTTTTTTTTTTAAATTGGCTACAAATAAAAAAAAATATATATTTACGCAGGTGGTGATTTAAGTATTTATCTCTTACTGGCTAATTTTTTATGTTTTTGTGTTGTTCTTAACATTTTTGTTGAATCTAAAGGAGTCCATATCTGAGTGTTTTCATAAGTACCAGAGGTACCAGGCTGATTTTTTATTGGACTGTTGTTCTTTGGCGTTTCATTTGTTGCATGAAATGTATCCTCAAAGCTCAATGCTTCTATAAAATAAATATAAAATATGCAATAAATTGTTTCCTTCTAATTTTCCAATTAGATTGAAAACAGCCACTAGAGAAAGATGAATTATTACAGTTATAACCATGTTCAATACCAGGATTTGGATTATTTTTAATTATATAAATTACTGATGCTTTATAGAACAGTTTTTTTCGAGGGGTTAACACTTTGGGGGTAATCAGTGTACATAAGATGATGGTAATTATAGGTAATCATGGGTAATCATTGGTATTCATGGGTAATCATAGGTAATCTTTGTAGTAAATCATGGGTAATCATAGGTATAATCATTGAAATCAGTAATCTGGTGTACAAACTTTCTGTCAGGTATTTACCCCTTGTTTTTTTTACTGGCAGAACATTTAATTCTTTATACAGATATTCTGTGTGATACAAATGATTTTTTTTTTAAATAATTTTTAAAATTCTGTTTTGTATTGTTTTTAATGGAGTGTTGTATCCTAAGCACCACCCCAAATAGTAATACCACAATTATTAATAAAGAAAAATGGCTTAAAATACTGACATAAGACCTGAACTTAATTTTTATTATAATTATTAGTATAGTAGGAATATACCTTTACAAATTAATATGGATTCAACTTCTTCATTAACAATGAACTCATGACCATGAAATATTATCTCCTGTTCAATTCCTTTTTTTTTGTGTCAGTGGGCCTTGATTATGTTTAGTTGATTCTTCTAAACAACCAATGTTTTCAGGCACTGTTGCAAAAAAAAAAAAAATCATTCAATCGATATTAGCTACTACATTCATAATATTAATATATATTACGATCAATATAAGAAGTTTCTTATTCTTAGTAATGAACTAAAAATACACTTAAAAATTTATTGTAAGAGGTGCTTAGACATAGATTTTCTTTTTATTATTTATTTTTTTAGATTACCTATTCAAATGATTTTTTGAGCTCTATACAATACTTTAATCATAACTTGATAATCGATATACACAAGATAAATTTAATGCTTCATCGTCAGAAAACGAAATGTGCAACGATGAACGAACTACAGAAATCAGTTTTCTAACCTTAACTAAATTAACCTGGGTTAAATTACCAACCTATACAGAAATGCTATCTTACATGTTCAATTTGCTATAGTAATTATAATAGTTAAAATATTCATTATATTTAAATATAACACTTTATCAGATTGTTACATGCGGCCCTTCAGGGATCCAAAGGTTGTCGTGCTCTTACAATAAAATACAGTCAAATTAAAATATAAATCAATTGTACTTTATTAAAACCAATAATAAATAATGTAGTCGTGGTGAAATTGCAGCGCCGTGAGTTGACTTGTTATAGTAGTTGATAATCTCCGTGTAAGTTGTGTGTGATGGCTGGGCGGCTAGGCGAGTCGTGTGTTGTTCTCGTCTCTGGATACATCTAATTTGTATTGAGGCCCTAGCCTCTATATATACGAATATACGAAGGCGACGCCCTTTGAATTGAGCGGCGCGTGGCATGTAGGCGCCCTTGGGAAGTTGTTGTGATCCGAAGCGTCTATTCTAGCTATGACCACTTTTGGGTGTGGTCGACGAGGCCGCTTTCTACATAAGTAGTACTTGTTATTGTGAGCGTTGTACATGAATTGCGTAATCCCATTACAAGATAGCTATGAATTTAATTAAACACGATTAAGGTTATAGGTACAAAATAAGAATGGTTTAATTTATAAAAGATATTAAATGTTTATAGAAAATTACTTACCATCACTATCAAATTGACTAGGTAGTCCTTCAATTGACAGTTGCAATGTTTGGTACAAAGCTTTCTCCGAATCACTGGACACTGTGTATGGATCTTTATAAGGACCACCCCCTGTTTTAAACAAATCGCTTTTAGTGCCACGTAACTGTTTTTTAACCGATTCATATTTCAAACGTAAACTGTTGGAATCTCTTGGCTATAACAAAAATAGTATAATATAAATAATCATATTTTATACAGAAAATTAAATTTGAAATTCTTACACAGCCTGTTGTTGTAGAATTATATGTTTCAGCAATGTTCAACCAACACTTATTTTTGTCCTTCCAGGATACTGCATTTGATTCTTTGTTCTCAAGTATGTGACGGTTTTCAAGTGCGATATTTAATAAAAGTTCTTTGTTTTTATTATGTTTTTTAATTCCTCAATGAATCTATAATATTACAAGTGTTAAATTATTTATTTACCATAACCATACATATAATTTATTTTCTAAAGCTTATTTATTAACTATAATACTTCATTTATTCTGATTATAATAATTTCTTTTATATTTTTTCGCTAACTTATATAAATATATGGGTCTCATTTTTGAAACAACATAATTAAATAGACATTTCGTTAAAACTACATCGGTAACTGGATCATGAAAATAAGTAATATTATGATTAGTTTCACACATTAATCCATGCGTTTCCGATAATCCTAACATTCTACCATTTTTTTCATTTTCCCTAAATACCCTGAATATAAAACTTCTTTAGTTTCTAAATTTGTTAATTCTAAATTAAACTCGTCATTATTTTTAATACTATACGCTGATATATTTAAAAATGCTACAATACCCTTAATTCTTAATTGTTTAATTAATGTTACGTCCGTCGTTCCATTCCAGAAAACTATTATTGGATCCCTATTGTCTATGTGCAAATATCTTTGCAAGTAAACCGTTGACAAGGTTGATTCCCCCGGATGGCTTACACTTTTGTATAATTGGTCCAACAGTGGTGTAATCACGCTTGCCTTTTTCCCTCGGAATACCCGTTTGATTGTTTGCACTATTTTCTTAAGATCGCATTTCCGGAATCTCCTTAACTTATCGTCTTTTGTAAGTATAAGGGGACTTCCTTCCAATTTCTTGGGCTGGTATTTTTCTAGACTATTTGAAATCGCCCCGGATACCAATAATGTTTCCTCTTTACTAACCGTAAAGAATTCGAAATCCACTATGAAAAAACGGATCTGTGAGCTAAAATAAAATTTATTATTTAACGTCAGTAACACTATAATTTAATAATATTATTATACATTTATGTTTTTTTTTTTTTATTATTATTTCTTTCTTGGAACTATATCGTTTGCTGGGTTATTGCTACGCCTCTAATTATTAGTTGCTCTAACAACAAACCAATTTCTACACAAATGGGTCTGTTGTGGTCCGGTCGTTCAACCACCGTGTGTACGAAGTTGCATACATGAACCATAACTCTTTCCAAAACTAGTCTTGGAAAGGGGTGTGTCATGTCTTCATTCGCCCTCCTTAAGTGTCTTCTGAAACAGTGTAGGGTCACTGTTCCCCCTTGATTTAATTGTGTGTGGCGTGCTGTTATTAACTCTACTATAAGTCTGTGAAAGAATTCTCTTGTTTGTAGTGTCTTTTGAACTGTACGAGAAGTAGGTGGTGAGTTCCTATTCATTTTATATTTCTTATTTATGTGGGTATGTTTTTTAAATATTTGTTCTTATTTTAGTTCCTGAAATAATTAAAGTGGCCTATTATATAGTTGTTACATCGTGATTATTTGTAAGTATTATTCTATGAATTATTTCGTTATGCAAAATAATATCTATTTATTCTATACTCTGGCCCACGAGAGAGTATTACCGTCGCCCGACGAAAACTCGTCTGATTCCGCGCATTCCCCACTACTCGGCATGTGCCGACAACTGTTCGGTACCGGTCGGCAGCGCTCAACGCTATACGGTGTATAGCGGTCGTGGAAATAGTGGGGGAAATGGGGCCTCGGAGGCTCGGAACGGTCTCCGCCGTCAGTCTGCATGCGCAAAACGGTAATACTCTCTCGTGGGCCGGAGTATAGTGGTTATTATTTTATTAATATGTTACGTATTTATTTTCGTTTTGTATGTACTATATTATTTTATTCTAAATATTTATTCTATTTTAAGTAAATAATTCGTTATGACTAGCGACTACTCTAAATATATTTATTTTATTATTTTTTATCATTTTTCTTTTTAATTAATTAATTTATCTTGATGAGGGTGGTGGAGTGAAGGGTGTCTCTTCATAATTTCGTACGTAGTCATTTCTATTGGGTGTCCTATATTAGTTCCTGATTCTTCCGTTTTTTGTATAGCTTTTCGTGTTTTCTTAGTGCACTTGTCATCACATACGCCAAATAACGTATGCATGGTGTTACCTATTAAGTTTATTAATCCTCTTTTCTTTCTGTTTTTAATGTCCTCCATAGTACTTCCTAGTGACATATATGTACGTTCTTTCTGTTTAGTTATTTCGTTATATAAGTCTGTAATTACTGTTTGATATTTTCCACATAAATCTTGGTACTTCTGGTCAGTACATAAATTTGTTGTATTTTTTATTTTTTCCCCCAATAGTTCATATTTCGTGTTATATTCTTTTAATGAGAAAAACGTTACAAGACTGTATTGAGCCACTATTAATCTAACTGGCCCCAAACCTTCATATTGTATACCCCTGCCAACTCCATAAGGCGTATACGAAAAGTACTCTGATGCATTTATTTCGTCAGAGTCGACAGTTTTGACTAGAAAACTCGCCACCATCACCAATCTAAAAGTATAAATTATATTAAAATTAAACTATCTTATTGTATTCTTATATAATTAAAACCATTATATTTATCACATGTGTTTTTTTTTAGATTTTGCTATAAATGGACCCGACGAAAAATTCCGATTATCAAAAAAAAGAAGAGAGATGCCGAAAATATGTTCTTCGCAATTGTGTGAACTTTTACATTATTATTTATTATTTTTTTTTTTTTTTTTACTATATTCTATTTTTATTATATATATATTTTCCCTAGTGCGCGGACGTTCCGATATTACGCTAGAAGTGGAATGGCCAGAAGGATTCACACCCCCTCCTGACGACGTGGTTCGGGCTGCATTAATGAGCGACGGAGAAGAGGATGGATCTGTGTCTGATACTGATTCCGAATAATTCAAAATGTGCGGAAATCGTCGAAGACCGGTTATTGGGTCATTTTGATCCCAGTGTCGTAGATTTAATTAGTTTATATTATTGTTATTTTTTTTTAATAATAATACACCGAGTTATTAATTATTTTCTGAGAATAAGTTTTTGTAATAAAGTAGGTCCTCTGGCTCTGGTATAACGTCGATAAATTCAATTAGGTCCTGACAATTAATTTTTTCCAGATTTTCCATTCTATTTTCTGTCATAACATACAGAAACCCTTTTATGTTACGGGTAATCTCATTTAGATCCGCTTCGGTGTACGGTTCGGTTAATTTATTATTAGCTATAGTTATGTGTTCTATAAAACATTTCGGAAATTTTTCTATTCCTAAATTGGTTGTATCGTGGTTTCCATTTATTATTTCTTCTTCCAGTTTCAAAATGAATGTTCTGTTTCTATTCCTAAAATTAACATAATTATTCTAACTTATTATTTTTTATTATTGCTATTTTTTTTTTTTAATTGACTTGTGCGTCATTATAATATTTTTTTACGTTATTTCTATGTACAGTAATGACCTTGCGGCCTCGCTGTATAGCTACATTCTCGTTCCCTATAACTGCTGTGACCTCGTATGGTCCTAGCCAGATTGGGTCGAGTTTCGTTCTATGATTATTATCTTTTAATAGTACTAAATCATTAACGTGTAGTTCTTGTGGATTTTCATTTTTATCATAACGTTCTTTACTTTTTATTTTATTTTTAATTAAATGATCTCTAGCTATCTTATGCGAAATTTGCATATTTTCTTTTAGATCGAATATATAATCGTCATAATTGTAACGTGGTTCAGGTTCGGCTTTTAATCTAATCGGTACCTCCAACGTACGTCCATAGACTAATGCGTATGGTTGAAAATTAGTAGATGTACCGTTGAATTATATACAAAGAATGCAAAGGGTAGTAAATGATCCCAATTATTTAAATTCTTATCTACATAATGTCTTAAATACTCGGCTAAGGTCCTATGAGCGCGTTCTACGGGGTTACCCTGCGGTCTGAATGGACTTGTGTTAACCTTTTCTATCTTTAATATCTTACAAACATTTGCAAACGTTTTCGAGAGGAAATTAGTTCCTTGATCCGTGAGTATTGTTTCTGGTATGCCGTGTACACAAACGAAGTGTGTAACAAAGGCTTCCGCAACAGTATTTGCCTTCTGGTCAGGAAGTGGAATTCCTAAAGTGTAACGTGTCAAATCGTCCTCCATCGTTAAAATGTATACATTATTGGACTGTGTAATCGGCAAGGGCCCTACTATATCCATAAATATTTTTTCGAATGGTTTAGACGAAGTGGATGTAATAGCCATTGGTTGTTTTATGTGCCGATTTGATACCTTATTAACCTGACATGACGTACAATTCTTTATATATTTTTTTACATCTTCTTTCATTCCCCTCCACATAAATTGTTGTCTGATACGTTTAGTAGTTTTATTCACACCTAAATGTAAATCTAATTTGTATTGAGGCCCTAGCCTCTATATATACGAATATACGAAGGCGACGCCCTTTGAATTGAGCGGCGCGTGGCATGTAGGCGCCCTTGGGAAGTTGTTGTGATCCGAAGAGTCTATTCTAGCTATGACCACTTTTGGGTGTGGTCGACGAGGCCGCTTTCTACATAAGTAGTACTTGTTATTGTGAGCGTTGTACATGAATTGTGTAATCCCATTACAAGATAGCTATGAATTTAATTAAACACGATTAAGGTTATAGGTACAAAATAAGAATGGTTTAATTTATAAAAGATATTAAATGTTTATAGAAAATTACTTACCATCACTATCAAATTGACTAGGTAGTCCTTCAATTGACAGTTGCAATATTTGGTACAAAGCTTTCTCCGAATCACTGGACACTGTGTATGGATCTTTATAAGGACCACCCCCTGTTTTAAACAAATCGCTTTTAGTGCCACGTAACTGTTTTTTAACCGATTCATATTTCAAACGTAAACTGTTGGAATCTCTTGGCTATAACAAAAATAGTATAATATAAATAATCATATTTTATACAGAAAATTAAATTTGAAATTCTTACACAGCCTGTTGTTGTAGAATTATATGTTTCAGCAATGTTCAACCAACACTTATTTTTGTCCTTCCAGGATACTGCATTTGATTCTTTGTTCTCAAGTATGTGACGGTTTTCAAGTGCGATATTTAATAAAAGTTCTTTTTCGCGAAAATTAAAATTTGTTGCCCTTGCCCTTTTTTCAGTGTTCTTTACGTTCGACATATTAAAATAAACAATTTGCAACAGGGCGTAGGTAATTAACAAAAAATAATTATAACTTATCTTGAACAAGAGCATCAAAGCAACAAAGTGTCAATCAGAAATAATTTAAAACATAAATATCAAGAAGTATCACATTATCACAATAAGTGAAAAATCAACGTTATCATTGACCAATCATAATGAAATAAGCTTGTGTAACTTGATCCATAATGCATAATTCCTACTACATATTAGTATCAATTTAGTATCTTAAAAAATGATTATAACTTTATAGACTTTATCAAATTTTTTGACTACGGTTTTGATATGAGAGTTTGTAAATTAAAAAAAATGACCCAGCAATCAAGTATTAAATTTAACTTGTATCTCGACTGTGTTTACGTGCATGTGTTAACACAGGAACGTCGAGATATTTTATTTAAAACCGAAAATATGTTGGCATTTACAAATTCAAATTTCGAAAATTTATTTAAAAAAATGTTTAATAAACTTATTAAGGAAGAATCTGACTTTGTCACCAGAGGAAGTGGCTGGAGTTTAGATTCAATTGATGTCTTACAGTTAAGGATTAATATTGTAAACCCGATAAACCGGATCTAGTTATTTAATCTTACCTGACTCAGTCCAAAAACGTGGTAAACTGAGTTCAAAATATCGTTTCGTAAATCGTTATCGTTATCTTTATTTTTTCTTCTGAATTGTATCGCGGAAACTATTCCTTTACCCATTCTTAAAAAATTATTTTGTAGTAATATTCTATTTTCCAATTTCCCGGCTTGTTTTTTTGTAGCGATTTCTCTAATTTTCTTACAAAAATTTCTCAAGAAATGATTTTTACATTCAATTTTTTCTACTGTACTTTTTTTGTATGGTCGTGCTTCCAAAAATTTTTTATAAACACTGCTATCACCATCAGCAATTAACTTGCGGTATCTAATCCCATACATACGTTCACTTTCTTTGAATCCGTTAACAACAACTGCAGCCTCCATTGCTGACGATCCAAGATTTCCAATTCTTATAACACTCATGATCTTTAACTTTATCTCCAATTTTCATTCTAGCACAAGTTTCACAAAACATATTTTTTACACCCACATACAACACTTTTTTTGTACGATATCCAACGATAGGAGCCTAAAAATATATATGATGGAAAAATAAATATAAATATTCGCAATGAATGATGAAAATTAATATGTTATTAATTTAGATTCTAAGCGGAGAGATGAATATATTGATTTTACAATGATGTGTGTTTTATTATTTTTTATTTTTGTGTATAGGTATATTTGTGTATTTATTTTTTCACCCGTATAGGCCTGATTTAGTACAAAAGTTGGTACCAGGTGATTCTAATCGTAGACTTACATTTATGATACAATTACACGACGAACCCGATTTTCTACTATTTATCTGTTGGACCGACGAATCAAAGTTTACCAAAAACGGTATAATTGTAATATTCTGGTAGCTCTGATGGCTACTAGTATATTAACGTTTGCAGGTAGCTAGACCGTTTACTGTGGTGATTAGGTATCGGTTGAATAATTATAACACAATTGCCAAATTATACTGTTATTTATTAGAGTTCCAATAATCACAACGGTGCTGAGTCCAGATGACAATCGTTACACAGAGTTGCGTAAAGGTGCTTGTAGTAGCGATTAGTGGACACGTCTGAATACAGGCCGTTTCGGGGTCCCTCTTATAGTCCGGTCCCCGCTCCCCTTGCTTAGTGATACAGTATATATCGGTTCTGACGGATGTGGTCTATGTGGCCATCGACCTAACTACGCACTTGCGAAATTCCTAATCTATTCTGGGTATAACTATAATGTACTGATAGATAATTTGTGACTGTCAATTTTACTATAATAAACTATACTATTTCTATATTGAATTTCTCTCATACAACGCTATCGCATTTATCACATCCGCCTATTCTACATAATTGCAAAGTCGTGCTAATCTACTGTGGTATTATTTTGAATATCATTTCTAATTGATTCTTTCATTTATTAATCGCAATTTTGTTTACACGTTCGTTTTTGGCGTTATACTCCCCATGGTTTCTTTGATTAAGTACAACCAAAAAGGTTAACTACTTTCTATTTGATATATCTGACCATTACCTATCTACAGTATATTATGTTAAATATGTTACCTGTCGGGACTTTAAATGTTGCGTAGTAACTCGCTTACTACATAATTAATAAACAAAATAACCGGTATTGTGCTGATCACAATCCATATTGGACGACTGATACAAATCACCAAACAATTTGGGGAACTAACGTTTGGTATGGGTTACTAGATGGGAGACTTCTCGGCCCGTATTTTACACTTACCGGGAGAAGGTACTTGGAGTTTTTAACTGATGTTGTACCTACCTACATGGAAGATATTCTATTAGAGACTAGAACTAATTATTTTTTTAACAAGATAGAGCAATTGTTGTAAGACAAAATAAATTTGGCAATCGATGGATGGGTACATATGGAGCAGTAGCTTGGCCACCAAGATCTCCAGACCTCACGCCATTAGATTTTTTTCTGTGGGAACATTTGAAGAATGTAGTGTATTCAACTCCACCTTTAAATGTTCAAGATCTAAAAAATAAAATTGTAAATGCTTGTGCAGAACTTAAAAAGGAACAGATATTAGCAGCTACTCAAAGAGAAGTGATTCGTCGATTTCAATCATGCATGGAGAATGATGGGCTAAATTTTGAACAATTTATTAGATAGTTATAAGAAATTTGTTTATCCAAATAAATAATAGAAATGATCGAAATTGTAAAAAAATTGTGTTAATTAGTTTAATCTTTTCTTACTTAGTAATTGAACTAACATTTACGTCTAATTCATTCCTCAAAATTAAATTTAAATGATTTAATAATATCTGCAAACCTACGGATACAAAAATAATAAATACAATTTTATAATAATTCATTAAATTTTTGTATGATTGGTGAAAAATTCAATAATTTTAATCGAAACTTTGACTGATTGCCATTTAGTCAATTTTGATTTTAGAGCTATGGTAAAAAGGACCAAATCGACTTAAAAAAATTCGGTCTATCTGAATTTGGTATTGAAAACACATGTTGCCATTTAAAAAAATGCAAGTTGTATTGCGCATGCGCACACGGAAAGATCTAAAAATGTAAAAATCATTAAGAAATGTGTATTTATGTATTCGCTATCCCCTCCTGAAAACTGCATATTAATCCGATGTCACTGGACAGAATTATTTAGTGTTACCTTTAAAAGGAAACGCACTGTATATGATACAATTTTCAAAATATTTTGACTTGTTTTGAGCTGTTTACGGATATACTTAGTTTCCAACTTTTTTAGGTTTTTTTTCTATGAATGTCAATAAAATATTAGTTGTTGGGTAAAAAAGCTTGAAAATTTAATACAATACAAAACTTCTAGTTCCTTCTATATTGTTACAATGACATTTAAACAATTTAAAAATACATAATCGCAATTTATTTTTATAAGCATTCAAAGTTCAAATTTTGATAAATTTTATCAAATTTAAAATTTAAAAATTATTTTTTAGTGAAAAATTGATAAAATTTTCAACTTTTATAGCTATAAGGATTGAAAATATTAAAAACAAGGTACCACATAAGTAGATTATTCTGCAACCCAAAAATCTCAAAAATATAAACACATACAGTTCTTTTGTATAGTTTGTGTTCAGATTTGGACGAAATTACATATAAAATAACCAAGAAAAATGATTTTATAGTCTGTCCCACGAAAGAGCATGCCGCGTGAAATCGAAAACTCGTCGGTTCCGCGCATCAACCACCAAACGGCGACGTCGACGGTAGACGTCGGCAGCGCTGACGCTCGATTTCGACGGGAGCACATGTGACCTTGGATATTAACAGGTGTCTTTACTGTTTGCCTGTACCTCCTCCTCGTTACAATTATAGTGTTTTTCGTTGTTGTTAATTTTGATTTTTTAAAATGAATGACAATCCATCAACATCAAATGTTTCACCAATTAAGAGAAATTCTAATGGAAAAGTAAGTATCTATAATATACTATATCTAAAACCGTTTGATAGTAAATCGTTATTTTACGCGTGAATTTTAAAATTTTAAAATTTTAAAATGTTTTATCATCGTAAAAATTTAAAATTTAGGCACACGTAAAATTTTTTTAATTAACTTACGCTCGAATTTTTTATAACTATTGTAAGCAAAACTTATAGATAACCTTGAATTAAATTTAAATATCTTAGTTATGAATACAAAAAATGTTATGAATTCCGCACAAAATATCCACATAACTATAGATTACGATTTTTATTTTTTTAGTTTGTTGGTAGCCGTCAAAAACAAATAATAATCAACCTGTACAAAAACAAAATCACCGAAAATGCAGAACTGAAAATTAAAGAGGCAGTGAAATTAATTTCGACAGAAATTAATTGGGAAAAATACTGTTCAAAAGACTATTTCGGACTACAAAAACGTCGGAGTAGTGAAATCGCCAAAAAAAAAAAATTTAGATTGACGATCAAGGAAAAAGCAGATGATTTCGAAAAGAATGCGGTTCGCAGGAAAGTCCATAACTTTTGGTTTAAAGGTGAAGTGCCGACACTGGACAAAAACGTCGGAGTAGTGAAATCGCCAAAAAAAAAAAATTTAGATTGACGATCAAGGAAAAAGCAGATGATTTCGAAAAGAATGCGGTTCGCAGGAAAGTCCATAACTTTTGGTTTAAAGGTGAAGTGCCGACACTGGACAAAATTTTGAAGTCCGTGAATGATGATGAAGAAATCAGTACAACATATTCCCGGTCAAATTTACATCGTCTTTTAAAAGAACTGAGTTTCGTATATACCAAAAGAGGACGTAACAGTGCCATGATAGAGAGAGACGACATAGTAATTTGGAGAAACCGGTACCTGGAGACTATTCGTAAGTACCGTAACGAAGGGCGGACCATCTATTATACAGACGAGACCTGGGTGAATGCGGGAGAGTGTACATCCAAAACGTGGGTCGACCAAACTGTCAAAAATAGCAGGGACGCATTCCTTAAAGGACTCTCAACAGGTGCAAAAAATCCAACAGGAAAAGGCAAGCGATTGATCATTGTGCATATTGGATCGGAGCAAGGTTTTGTTCATGGCGGTTTATTGTCATTCGAGTAAAAAAAAAATAAGTTGGACTACCACGATGAGATGGACGGTGATACGTTTTTCGATTGGTTGAAAAACGTATTACCGTTACTCGATGATAATTGTGTAATCGTCATGGACAACGCCTCTTACCATTCTGTCAAATCTGAATTGTGCCCAACATTAGCTTGGAAAAAATGTGACATAGAAAAGTGGTTAGAAGAGAAGGGTGAAACTTTTGAAAGGCCAATTATAAAACCTCGACTGATGGAAATTGTTAATAGAATCAAACCTCAATACAACAGCTATGTGATTGATGAGTACGTAAAATCGCATGGTAAGGAAGTATTACGTTTACCTCCTTACCATTGCGAACTCAACCCAATAGAGTTGGCGTGGGCATTTGTAAAAAAACACGTCAAAATGAACAACACTACATTTAAACTCGCCGATGTCCAAAAACTTCTGATTGAGGGAGTGGAAAAATGCACACCTGAAATGTGGAAAAACTTTAAAAAACTCAGAAAGAAGAAGAACGATTTTGGGAAATTGATTTTGTTGTGGACGACGTCTTGGAGAGCATGGGTTCACTTGTATTGACCATTACTGGTGACACATCAAATTCCGAATCAGAGGAAGATTCATTCTGAGAATTTATAATTATTATCATTGTACATATTATACTGTAAATAAAATTGTATCATTGTAAATTATTATTATTATTTTTGTGATTTTGTCAGTTTGGCACAAAGTTAATATTGTACATTTGACTTAAATTGTATTATTCCATCTCACCATTATTATTTGTTTTTTAATAAATGACC